TTATGCAGTAAGAACTCTGAGCCCAAAACACAGAAGTTTATCTTGTTTAGAGATTAAGCAGAATTGTTTTATTTCTGTTTTTGTTTGTTTTTATTTTGTCCTTATTCTTGTGATTGCAAGCCACAGAATTCCATGCTGGACTAACTTAGGCCAGAAGGGTATGTACTAGAAAAGTACACAGGGTATATCACATAAGAAAGGGGGCTGTCCAAACTCTGCCCCTGCTTTCCTCTGTGTATTAATGTTATTCTTTTCCAAAGTGGCAGATAGGCTTCCCCTTGAAAGAAAATACAGGCACTGATCCCTTCAGAGTTTTATTTCTCCATTGACATGTAGGAAAAATCTTGGGGGAAACCGTGTTTGGGTCCTATGATGACCAAGCCTGCAACCAAAAGTCAGAGTATGACTGACCCAACTTGGATTAATGTCTCCCCTGGACCAATTACCTTAGCCAAGAGATGGGGGGTAAAAAATACAGCAGCTCCCAAGGGAAGCATGTGGGAGAGGCCATTCTCAGAAAGCAGAGGACATTCTTCCTGGAGAAGTAGTTAGTATTGGGTAGAGAAAACTACAGGTGTACCCCAAATCCTCTTTTTGCAGCATAAAAGAGAGCTAAATTATTGATGCACATATAAAATCCCATTGCCAATTTAATGTGAGCTGGACAGTAGTGGCATACTATTTAATATTAACAAAATCATAATATTAATTATTCTGTGTCCTGGAGCTTCAGTAGAAACAATTTAAATAAAATTAGTAAATGCTGTATGGGCAGAATTTCAGTAAGAGTGAGGGTCTTCTAAAAAATAGCTGAGGTCGGACTTGGTGGCTCACACCTGTAATCCCAGCACTTTGGGAGACTGAGAAGGGCAGATCACGTGAGGTCAGGAGTTCGAGACCAGCCTGGGCAATATGGTGAAACCCCATCTCTACTAAAATTACAAAAATTAGATGGATATGGTGGCACACGCCTGTAATCCGTGCTATTCAGAAGGCTAAGGCACGACAATCCCTTGAACCCAGGAAGTGGAGGTTGCAGTGAGCCAAGATTGCACCACTGTACTGCAGCCTGGGCAACAGAGCAATACTCTGTCTCAAAAAAAAAAAAAAAAAAAAAAAAAAAAAAAAAAAGAAAAGGCTGAGATGAGCAGAGGTGAGGCTGTGTAGTTATGTAGTAAGGCACTATGGGGGAGATGAAGGCAAACTCAGCACAGTAGGACCTTTCCATATTTTACATATTACACACAGAGATATCCTTTTAAAACATACACTCTTTGGGATTCTAAGGAAGCACCATTTTCATTTAATTGCATGCAAAAACCTCATTTTAAAAAACACACCTGAATTTCACATTAAGATGCTTTTTCCTAAAGGAACAAAATTTAACTTGTTAAACACCAATATATAATTTTAAAAGTATTTCCAAAAAGGCAGCCTGTGGCTTGAATGTGAGCTTTCATAACTATCGCTGAGGTTGGGTCCAGTGTAGTTTTGAAACTTAAAAGATTTCATTCACAACCATGTTTTTCAGTGCCTATTTTGTATAGAGCCTGGGATTCTAAACATGTATTAAGAATGGAAGGTTGAAATGGTGACATCCCTTTGTGGGAACAATAATAAGGTATTTACATATAAAAGGCATGTCAGTAAATGATGCCCTGTAGGAAAAGCCAATTAGGGGTTTTCTGGGCAGAGTTATCTGGGCAATCAAAGGGGAGAATCACCTAAGGCTGGCTTAGAAAGGGAAGGGGCAGAGAGAAATTGAAATAGTTTCTTCCCGATAGTCTTCATCTTCCACAACCACCTAGACAATGCTTCTCAAACTCTAATGTGCACTCAAATCTCCTAGGAATTTTGTCGAACATGTAGATTCTGACTTAGTTGATCTGGAGTAGGGCCTGAGAACTTACATTTCTAATGTGCTCCCTGGTGATGCTCTTGCCACCGGTAAGTGGACCACCCTTTGAGTAGCAAGATCTAGAAAGCCAGGTCATCAGCTCAGAGTGTCTAAAACAGTGCCTGCTATTTAGTAGGTACTTAATAAATATTCATTGCATTGTGGCTAAATTGAATATTTTAGATAAGTGTGTGTTCTGGGACCACAGAAGGTGGGAACCAGTTCTGGAAGCGGTAAAGGGCAAATGCAGGGGGTGTGATGGGAGCCAAGAGGGAGGCAAGAGGACGCAACAGAGAGGGAACTTCTGGGGAGCCTGGAGGGAGGGTAGCACTGACAATGGTGTGGAGCCTGACACCAAACCAACATAAAGTCAGAACTGAGTGGGTAGAAGGTCTGTGAGTTCTCAAGCTTAGTCTCATCATTGATCGGATGCTGATGCTGGTAAGGATGAGGGCAGTAGGTGGAAGGAAAACAGTACCTGTGAGCAGATGCTGGCATAATCAAGAAAATATTCTGCAGTCAGGTGAATGATAGTGATGAGAACCTGGAAACAGAAATATAATTCAAAAGAGTTGCTGGGAGACTTAGCAGTGGCTTGTCGAATGAGGGAGGGTCCACCAAGACACCTCCCTCTTCAAGTCTGGCACAAAGCATCCAAATCACCTCGGGAGATTTTGAGAATATTGATTCCCAGGCCCTATCCCTAGACATTTGGAGTCCATAGGTCCTGGAATCTGTATTTTTAAGAAGTTCCCCCAAGTGATTCTGATGTTGCAGCCAAGGAAGGTGATCCCTGGGTAACTCTCTGTAACTCCTTCAAGTGATTGGAAGAGGAGAAAGGCCCTCTAGGGAAGGGAAGGTGCTAGTGAGAGGACACTTCAGCTAAATAGAGGCATTGCAGGAGACCCCAAGGAAATGGCCAGAGTCTTTGCATGCTAGAATTTTACAGCTCGATAAATGGCATGACTACAAAGTAATGCCTCATGATTTCTTTAACTGTGATAATCATGATTAGGCAATCCCTTTTGAAGGATCAAATAGGCTTTCTACTGCCCCAAGTCCTAGTTAATATTTGTTCAGATTTAATCCACTTCACAGATGAATGCATCAAATTTCATGATAATTTTAAATGAATGTGAATTCCGTATTATAATTCTCTTGTAAGCCATGGAACCTTATTTGTCTGGGTTTTTAAGCAGCTCAGCCACTTACCAGCTCTGGGGTCCTGAGCCCAGAACTTGAGCCAGGTGTGTCAGCATGTTCATATGTAAAACAAAAATAATAACACCAACCACACAGGGCAACTCTCAGGCTTAAGTAAATACATGTGAATCTTTTTTTTTTTTTTTTTTGAGACAGAGTTTTGCTCTTGTTGCCCAGAGTGTGCCCAGAGTTGCTGGAGTGCAATGGTACAATCTCGGCTCACTGCAAACTCCACCTCCTGGGTTCAAGTGATTCTCCTGCCTCAGCCTCCCAAGTAGCTGGGATTACAGGCACCTGCCACCATGCCTGGCTAATTTTTTTGTAGTTTTTGTGAAGACAGGGTTTTACCATGGTGATCAGGCTGGTCTTGAACTCCTGACCTCAAGTGATCCACCTGCCACAGCCTCCCAAAGTGCTGGGATTAAAGTGTGAGCCACCGCGCCCAGCCACATGTGAATCTTCTAAAACTGTGCCTGACATATAGAAATGATCAATGAAAGCGCTGTAGGGCCCTCTCCTTAGTTCAGCTAAAGACGGGGTCCTTGTCACATGGCCACAAAAAGTTAGGCTTAAAGACAATTTGAAGAGTAAGGAGGACAGGGTTTGATTGTGTTCAAAGGAAAAGAGGGAAACAGGTTCTCTCCACAAGGCCAGAGTCCCTGCTAGTGTGCTTCCCACCTTGCAGATTGAATTCCAACTTCCACCCAGGAAGAGGAGTGGCCAGGCTGCAATTGGAATGGACTTCTGTGGCTGCACCCCAGAGTGCATTCCTCCCAGTGAGCAGGCCCATTGGAGTTTTTCCAGGGACCCTTATACTTAGCTGTCTCAAAAGTTTGTGGTATTATGATTTGTCTTGTCACTATTACAGCTACCACTTATATAAGACTAGTCAACTTGCCTTGCCTTATATGTTTTTGGGAAAGAGAATCTCCATCTATAGGAAAAGCAGTGGGGCCTTTCAGAAGATGTCCACACTATCTATTTGGTGCTCCAGTAAGAAGGGTTGAGTCCAGTTGCTAGAGCCACCTGAAAACCTTGCAGAAGGTTCTCCAGATTCCTCATGTGGAAAAAAGGAAAAGATTGGCGGGCAGAATTACCTTTATGTAATTGACAAACACCTATTGGGCATCAAGTGAATATTAGGAATTGTGAATTGTGCAGAGTAACAAGGATACCAAAACACAATTGATGCCCTCTTGGGGCTTGATTTGATAATAGATGTACTACAATAAATACTTGTGTTCACGGTGAGGTAGTGACAGTTCAATGACAGCACAAAGAGAATTTCTGATGTTCTTTATATCTACTGGAAATTGCCCACACAAGAACATAAATGTCAGCTTCTAAGATGGAAAACTCATGTCATCCTCAAAGCAATTCAACAATGAATGATAGTTGTGAGCCAAGAATTATAACTCGCTGTTGATTATAACTTACATTTGTGTCATACTTATTTTTATTTTGAGCTTCACAGTACCTCCAAAACATAAAGGCAGGGATAATCCCATTTATAACTGAGAAAATGTAGGTTCTGAAAATGTAGGGTCTTGCCCCAAATTTCACTTTTAGTAAGTCATAGGGTAGAGACTGGACCCAGGTCCCACACTATAGGTTGTCTTCGCGCTGAGCGGGGGGGCTCTGTAACTGCCAGAACAATCTAATGAATTCTGTTTCATTAAAAATAGATAATAAGAAGAATTTTATATTAAAACCCATAAGCCTAGATAATATGATGGTTCTAAATTGTCCTCATTGCCAATGTTAGATGTCTGGCAACTTTAACTATTGTGAAACATCTATCACAGATTTTCTAACTATAGATTCTGTTGTTTGAGGGAGGTGGGAAGGAAGCTCTGTTTGCGATCATTTGAAATAGCAAACTGACATTTTCTTTTTCCAGCTTATTCAAAAGTTGACGGATGTCGCAGAAGAGTGTCAGAACAATCAGTTAAAGAAGCTCAAAGAAATCTGTGAGAAGTAAGCCTTCATTCCCATTACAATTGACATGTGCATCTACATTGATTCAACACAAATTCCCATCTGATTGACCTCTTTTTTCTCTTTTACTTCCATGGTGACTTCAGAGAAAAGAAAGAATTAAAGAAGAAAATGGATAAAAAGAGGCAGGAGAAGATAACAGAAGCTAAATCTAAAGACAAAAGTCAGATGGAAGAGTAAGTCAAAAGTGTCCCCTCTCCCCAACAGTTCACCTGGGAATTATTTTGTTCTGTACATCGGAGTCACAGGTTCTTAACCAGTCAAAGACTCCTCCATGAAATTTCTCCTCTAGTCAGCCTTACAAAAGGTTCTTTTAGTAAGGTTTTTAACAGGGAAGGCTCAAACAAAGAGTAGTTCCACAAAGGAGTGAGGCACACCCAGGACCTTTTAGATAAAGAGTAAGCAAAGAGCTTCCCTCAGGGAAAGGCTAAATCCTCACTTCCTACCCATAACCTTCCTGGCATTTAGTGAAAACAGAGCCTGTGCCTTGGGAGGAACCTGACTTTTGTCCGGAGGCTGGCAAATTATACCTTTCTTGTAGCAGTAATAAGAATGTTGCTGTGGCTCACATTTGTCATCTCAGCACTTTGAAAGGCCTAGGTGGGAGGATTGCTTGAGGCCAGGAGTTCAAGAGGGGCCTGGGCAACACGGAGAGACTGTCTCTACAAAAAAATTTTAAAATTAGCTGTGTGTGGTGGTGCACACCTGTATTCCCAGCTACTCAGAAGGCTGAGGCCGGAGGATGGTTTCAGCCCTGTAGGTCAAGGCTTCAGTGAGCCATGATGGTGCCACTGCACTCTACCCTGGGCAACAGAGCGAAACTTTGTCTCAAATAAATAAATCAGAAAAAAGAAAATAATGTTGAGAGTTCTGTAACCTGTCATTTAGAAGTCTGAGATTCCTGTTTGTCAATTTTGGGTGAGTTGGTATAATGATGTATTCATCATTTGCTTTAAGGGAGAAGACAGAGATGATCCGGTCATATATCCAGGAAGTGGTGCAGTACATCAAGAGGGTATGTGGGCTCATCACACTCTCTCCTTTGCAAACCATGTGTGAACATTTGGTGAGCTCACTGTGAGCTTCTGGAAGGAAATGTCATGCCTTGTCATATCTTTTTATCACTAGCACCTAGCAGAGCTGTTTCACAGGGTGGGCACTCCTTAATCAACATTTCTGCAAGTTGAATTGCAAACAGCCATGTAAAAGGATTCATCTAAAAATAGACAGTCAAGTCATTTCCAAAGTCAAGAGCCCAGAAACATATTGTAAATGAGAGTTTTCCCAAAAGAACCTGTAATTGTCATCAATGATAGAGATGATGGCAACCTTGAAGGGCTGTCCTTTTTTTTTTTTTTCAATTAATGTCATAGAAATGTTTACATATTTATAAAAAGGTAAGAACAGTACAGTCCATTGATCACCACCTCCCACCCTATGTTCCTATCACCCAGCTTCAACACTTACTACAGTCTACTATACTTGTAAGTGTAGTTCTTGATCAGGAGATCAAATAATCAAATGCAAGCCATAGATCTGAAAAGCTTTCAGTATTTTCTGAAAATGGACACTTTTAAACGTTTAGATGAAAATAATGTTTCTTGTAACTTTTCTTATAGCTAGAAGAGGCGCAAAGTAAACGGCAAGAAAAACTCGTAGAGAAACACAAGGAAATACGTCAGCAGATCCTGGATGAAAAGCCCAAGGTAAACGGAACTGAATTAAAATGCACAATTATTTTATTTGATTTCCATTTAGTAAGAATAAAACCTTCCTGGTTTACGTAAGTACCTTGTACACAGTATCAGATCAGTTTTTGCATATGAAACTCATGTATCTTTCTCAATGAAGGTAAAAATATAGCAATATTCGGTAAGCATTTATCATCAGCTGGTGAGCTTTTAAAAACTGCAAATGTACAGAACCCAGCCCCAGAGATTTGGCTTTAACTAATCAGGGGTATGGCTCAGATAAAGGTATTTTTATAGTCCCTTTCTCCTGGAGAATCAGAAACTATCCAAACCTTCAGTTTGGTTACTACTAAGTAAACTTGAGTTCTAAATAGCTGATGTAATGTTGTAATGGCACCCTCTGTCCAGCAGAGGACGCCCTGCACCAAAATCACTTCGGTTTTTCTACAGCAAAATAGTCTCATAAATCAGAGAAAAGCAAATCTTTTGTTTCCCATAGTAACAGCTGATTGGGGCTCTACTTAAAAATTATCTTATGTTCATTGTTTGGTTACAATTAATTGTCTTATGAATATTAACTTTGAATGAATTGAATATCTGTAGATCAAATACTTTGAGGTTAGCAAATGGAATCTCAGTTTTAGAACATTCCTTCCATTTTGATTCGTCACCAAATAGTTTTCTGTTTATGGAAATTGTGTTTTTCAATTTTCCTGCCCTTCTATTTTCAATTTAAAATATCTACTCTAAAAAGTATTGCCATTCCACACAAGTATTTCTTGAGTCCTCAAAGTTAAAAAACGTTAGGGTTTTATTTAATTGTATGTTTCATTCACAAATTTACTTCTTATAGATTTCTTGTGGATCATTCTGAATACATTTTCATAGTTCTTTGTGCCCTTATGCTTTCATATTTATTATATAAGACATTTATTTAATATTTTTAATTTCTAAGTTTTTAGGGTTGACAATATAGATACTCAAGCAAGAATTAATAATTACTTAGATATGGTGCTAATTCTTATGTTTCTCCTATAAACATATAATGTAGATCTTCTCAGCCACCCTCTCAGGTTGATTATGCACTAATAAAGTGGAATAAATTTTAACATAATTTCAGAAATTGCTATACTTTCCAATCAGGATTGATCTTTTTAAAATGCTCAAATTATTTAGAGCAAAAGATCCAGTTTGACTGAAATTTAAGAAACACCTTTACAATAATCAGTCCCAGGTGATATATTCAGATACATACATTTCTAATCTATGCTGTCTGGATTTAAATTTGTCATTACTTTGTACATTGACATAATAGAATTTGCTTGTGTTTGATGGCTCAGCTAGTTTTTGTATTTCAAAAAAATTTATCTTAGGGAATATGATTCTTTTCAGAGTTTCATTTTGCTTTTTTTTTTCATGTGTGTGTTTCAGTTCAACAATGTTAACTATTTTACTTACAGATAAAATGTGAATGTAAAATCATTAATGTGTTTAAATTATATAACTCTCAGTATCAATAACCCATATAAAGATTTTCATGTTACTGCTCTAGGTCATCATGATTAAAATCAACCTCAATAAATGTGGAAGCACCCTTCAACTTCTTCCCTGGATATAACTGGTCATGAAAAGAACTAATAACTTTTGGCCATTTTATCAGCAGTCAGGGTGCATTCAGCTGCAATTTTATAATAAGCCCAATTAAAACTGGCTTCAACAACTATAGGATTTAGTAAGCCACAGTACTGGAAATTCAGAGGTACCACAGTTGTAACAATGATTAATTTAGTGGCTTAACAATTTCATCTCCAGGTATATTTTGAATTTCTACTGTTGTCGCCTTCTAGCTGCAGGCCGTGAACTCAGTCATGAGACGGCTGCCCTAGCTCCACACATCATAACCTTACATAAAACCACTCAAAGGCCGTGCGGCAAATGGAAAATGTCTTCATTTTGTAACCCTTTCTAGGACTGAGAAAAGCCTTCCTACATCCTCCCTAGCTGGTGTTTCCTCATTGGCTACAATGGCCTCATATTCCCATTCTTAAACCAATCATGGGCAATAGGGTATCACTTTCATGATTGGCTTAGAGTAATTAAGATTCACTCACAAGGCTAGAGAGAGTTCAGTTTCTCAATTCCATGGTCATCAGGTACCTGAACAAAATTGATATTATATCATCAAAGAAATAGAGGGGAAACAGCAATTGGGTAGATACGTAACATAGAGGGTATGTTACAGCCACGTTTCTAACAATTTTTAATTTCTTTCTTTTTGGCCCCTTGGAAAGAGATCTGAAGTGTTTCTATGAATTTTTAGTAGTTCTATTGTCTGCATTTTTTAATTGTAAATAGGTACCATGATGAATTCCTCTGTGCTTTTCTTCCATGAGGTTGCTCTATGACCATCTTTTTGTGTCTGGATTTGAAGGTTGCCCTTGAAGATTGTTGGTTCCATGTCAAACTAAAGCATTTCTTGAGGGTTTTTCTGCGTGGCTTGAAAACGTTGTGCCTTAGAGCTGTGATTTTATTAATAAAATAATAAGTCATGACTGTTAACATTGTGGGGCATGGTGGTTAAAAAGGGAGATGACACTGGTAAGAGGAGCAGTAATAGACGTAGAGTAAAACAACAAAATCAAGTGTGAGGCACGTGAAGAAAGACCAAAGCACAGGACAGCAAAGTAGATATTAATAAATGGGTGGTGAGGAGACGCCAGGCCAGGGTAGCAGTCACTGATGCTTCTGTAACTGTGGGGCATGGATCAAAACTACAGTAACACTGTCTTTGAAATAATCCCTCTCCACGTCTAGTACTGAAACAGGCTTTGAATCTTCACATAGACATGAGGGAAATTAGCAAAAGCAGAAACAAAGCAAGGAACAACCCAAGGAAATGAAACTGATCAAGAGTATCTCTAAAACAAGTCCACGGAGTCAGTTCCATTCAGTCAGATAAGAAGACAGAGTGATTTCGTGACCTCTAGAACTTTATGAACGGTTCCATTACTGGGTTTTGGATGAGGAACGTGAGCCGACATTGCGGCAGATAATATTAAAGGCAATTGTAACTTTCTTATGAAGAAGAAAGCATGCCAAACTTTGCCGTAGGTTACAGAGGAAAATTTACAGATGGGATGAAGCTTTTTAACTAGAAACTGATCATAGCTAAGTTTTTGCTGGCACCAAAAGTCTGTATAGGCTACATGACATCGTATTTCTTCCTGTTCTTCCATTTCTTTCACCATGTTGTTGTATATAATAATTTACTTTCTCTTCATCCACTTATTCTAACTAATGTAATAATGTGTTTCGTGTTCCCAATCTTGTTCTTAACAGGGAGGAAGCTCTTGTTTACATTGCTGTTTACTCTGGGATATTACTATTTTGAGGTATTCTGAACCTTGATCAACCCCAATCATATTGGTGTAATTTTCTAAGCCATTGGTAAACAAACAACTCTTTTGAAAGTAACAAACAGATATTTTGTAAATCAGCGAAAGAAATTTGAAAAGCCAATGGCTCAAAGTTAACGGTTTTTCAGTAGCAAAGAAGTAGTTATTCTGGCTCAATTTAGAGCAAACTACATGTGAAACCTCATTCAAAGTGTGACTTTGCTAGCGGTTTACTGAACAATGTGCATGTCATCTAGAGTTCCCAACATTTTTACCATCCTGCAACAGCAGTCATACGAGAATATGCCTCAATCAAAATCAGGCTAAAAATTTGTTTCAGTTCTGCATGTGACCCAGGACCTTCAGGCTTTCTGGTCGTTATTTGTTGGGGGACCAAATGTGGCCAGTCACATGTGAAAAGTTTATTTTAGATTGTTCCACTGTGTGACATGCACCAAGCTCTTTTCATATGGAAAGTTCATTTTTCCCCTATGAAAAAAGAGATTCAATTAGTTTATTCCTTTTGTAGGTGATTTTGAGGGCATTGGGGAAAATGGAAATAGGTGGTCCCTCCAGGCAATTTGTACAATAAAATATTTTGGCCTCGATTTGACATAAAATGATGTACATTGCTGTACATAAGTCCCATGGAAACTTATTATGTTATAAACAACAATAGATACTCTTAGCAGGGAATACTTAGCTCCTTTCCAGGACAGTTCTGAATTCTGGAGAAACATTCAACTGCATGTTTTCTAGCAATGAGATATTTGATTCAGTCCCTGAGTGTATGTGGGTTTCAGTTTTGTTTGAGGTGTGCCTTTTTTTGAAATCCATAGTGGTAGAATTTTCAAGATGGATGCAGTAAACTGGCCAGTCTTCTGACTCGGGGAAATAATTGGTTTCCTTGGGATTTCCTTACCTGGGTTTGCCAAAGTCAATAGGTAAGTGTTTATGTGTACAGGCAATGTTAGGAACAACTCAAGAACCCAACTGCCAGTGCAGAGAGAATCCATACCTTTTGTGGTCCTGCTCAACCCTGAATTGATCCATTATAAAAATGACCTTCTACCTTTTTCCTGAACACTTCAAAGATATTCATTTTAACATATGAAAGCACAGTTGGCCGGGCGTGGTGCCTCATGCCTGAAATCTCAACACTTTGGGAGGCTGAGGTGGGCGGATCACTTGAGGTCAAGAGCTCAAGACCAGCCTGGCCAACATGGGAAACTCAGTCTCTACCAAAATACAAAAATTAGCCAGGCATGGTGGTGGGCGCCTGTAGTCCCGGCTACTTGGGAGGCAGAGGCAGGAGAATCACTTGAACCCGGGAGGTGGAGGTTGTAGTAAGCCGAGATCGCGCCACTGCATTCCAGCCCGGGCAACTGAGTGGGACCACCCGGTCTCAAAAAAAAAAAAAAAAAGAAAGAAAGAAAAAAGAAAACACGGTTGATCACAAGTTGCCCTGAGTCTGTTGTGAATATGCCAGTGTTTATTGATCACTTTGCAGCTCCTGACTCTTTATAAGAAGAATCATCTTTTGAGGGGAATTTTTAATGAACTGTCTCCATAACCTCATAAAACAGTCAATAAATGTGTAATTTACTTTTTCTCTGATGC